ACATCAATGTGACCCACCCTCGTGAATGCGATATCCATTGACGGATTCACATTCGACGGGGATGACGCCCAGTTGGGACTAGGCGTCATGATGATGTTACAGACGGACGTCATCAGCGAGCTTATATATATTTGAGCTCGCACGTAGGAATACGCTTCTAAAAGACGCGTATTCGATCTTTACATTGAACTTATCAGTAGTTAAGGCAGCACTTAATGACTTTTGTATTAAATATAAGTCAGTCTTGAATTTGCTAACTACCTATCAATGAGCACGAGAAGCTTAATAAGATTCTGCGTGACGTAAGTGAAGTTCTTGGTTAGAAGCTCTTTGGGTGGTTCGCTTAGGCGACCGTCAACGGTTGGTACAGCGCTTTGAGCGCCGACCAACTCCACCACCGGACGCGGAGGTATGACGGCCTAACCGTTTGCTGCTTGAAGGTGTGTGCCCGCGTAATACGTGGCAGCTTCTTTACGAAGTGCCCGTCTACACGAGCTTGCAACGATTAAATTTAACTTTTCGGATGTCCACGACTTGTGCCGGAAGGCCGTCCGCAATCCTTGCCCGGCACTCTTTCTGTTGGACTCTCGATCGCACAATATATGTCAGCTAGACCCCCCGGACATAAATTTCTAGTGTTCGATACAGTCTTCATTAAAACGTATTGATTATTTCTCTTTCCACTGTTCCTTCTTACTTTGTTATTCGCTTCCAGCTCTTCATTGCTGCATTGCTACATTAAGAATGGCCTGCACGATCAAGAAAGTAAACCATATGTTCTGGTACATGGAGCTAGAAGCGGCTGTTGTGCTGATATGATCTGAACAGTACTAAGACTTTGGTAACGATGATCGTCACTGTGTCTTCTGTTTCACAATATGCACCGAGAATAGCAAAAGTGAAAAAGAAAAGTATGGCCAAGCTCATATGTGACAGTGAAATTTTACGATGGTGACGAAAAAAGATGGACCTTGATTCACACCTTGGGTCACCGTTTGAAAATACGATCAAAGCATTGACAAATGGCGATGAAGTTGACAAGAACCTTAAATTAATCCTTGTGCCTCCGTCTGAAAATATGATTATAGCTGACAAAAGCCTGGTCGAGAATTCCGGACTGCCATCACTCTGGGACAATTGCCTTTAAATAAGCATCGAAAGGATGCATCAGACAAAAATTTCTAACTTATAACTGATAAAGGTGCTCCGCATGCTAGCGGCCGCAAAGAACAACCCAGATACGAAAAAAACTGCCGATATTTTAAAATAATTATCTGCTGCTGATGTGGAGTGATGATGTTGGAAAAACCACGAGTGACTAGGCGTGAGCAGAAAAACATGTTAGTGAATCCACTGCACAAATAACCACACGAGTAAGTTGGCGTGTTAGTGCCAGAGAAAGTTGCCGGAAAAATTCAGCTAGCTTCAAACGAAGAGGAAGTGTATTAATCTCAGGAGAAAAAAACTCCTGAGTTATTTTGACCGCAATCCTAAAATATAGAAACATACATAGAAATGCCTCTGTAGGCTGCTTCTCTTGCCACGAGTGTAACTACCTTACCAATCGTGTCACATCACACTCTCAACCTCTGTATGCATTTTCCCACGGTAAGTTTGTATACGGAAATGTTTTCTTCAAAAAAAACATTTCCAACAGATCAAACGATAGTTCGTTTGGAAGAAATGTTACTAGCTGACAAGGTTGATGTAATTGCAATATTGAAGAATCCGTCACTGAAAAGGTGAATAGAACTTAGTGGTGTAGTATTCCCTATTCCGCTGTTGTTTGATAAGTTATCGGGGCACTCAAAAAGCCAGAGCTAGCAAAATAGCTTGTTCTAGCGCAAGACAAGGAGGGTGCGAAGGAAACGACTTAAAAGCTGGTGAATCATCAGATGGAGAAGTGGAAATATAAGAAAGGATACAGTATGACGATGTCTTTACGCTTCTTGTTTTAAAAGAAGCAGGCATCGACAGCCCACGTTTACCTCGTATATGATTATGCTGGACGGCAGAGTAAGAGCTTAAGATAACAAGTTGCGGCTAACACTTGAAGTGCTGAGAAAGCACCTTTACGACGACAAAAAACCTTCTGAGTGGTTCAATGCTGCTGAAACTACCACAGGCGTTGAACGTGCCAAAAGGTCGCTCAATCTCATGCAATAGAAGAAAAGCGAAAAGGAGATACGCAAAGAAAAGGTGGATACAGAGAGCCAACGAAACAACGGTAAAGCACCAGTATCGACAAAGCGCTAACGACACGACGGTAAAGCACCAGTGCCGACAAAGCGCCAACGACACGACGGTAAAGCACTAGTGCCGACAAAGCGCCAACGAAACGACGGCGATCAGTAAGAGGGCTTACAGCCGAGTATTTGGACGAGGCTTTACATTAAGCTAGTCAATACGAACGTGCGACGGAAGACAAACTGGATGTAGTCTGGACGACGAGCCTTAAAAAAGTGCTGGAGAGTCTGTAAGGGGGTGAGTCCGTTTCATAATATTGACACTTACATGAAGTGTCAATAAAATATTATTATAATTAATTATATTCGACAATATTACCTTTACTTATAATATTCTTCTTGCATTTCCAGGAAGTTAAAGATGCTCTTCAATTGGTTGATCATAGGCCATTATATTGGCCGACGCGCTGGCCAATGACCGATAAACGCGCGCAATGAGGGAAGGGCATGTTGTCAATATACGTAGTTGTAGCTCTATATACTTAACACAGGTTATAACAGATTAGTTTTATTAGATAGTTTAACTATATTAATTACAGTTCTCTTTTTCTCCTCAACTCCTTTTGTTGATAAGACTTCCTCTGCCACGTGTACGTGAAGTTCTGATCACCTGCTTTCACTGTCATCAATGAAGGTAGATTATACTCTGAGAGTATAATTGGAGGGTGCCGCTCCAAGTAACGGACTGGAATTGGAAGTTTGGCCTGATACAAGCGTCGATGATGTTGTTGACAGAACAATGAGGTATTTCAGGTGCAGAGTTTTCGATTTTCATTAGCTTTTTATCCGATTGCTTAAGTTATCATCAAGTGTTTTCCAGCACAACTTGTGACCGAATTATTGAAATGTAGTCTAAACAATGTTAAATTACTCTGTCCTTCAAACGACATTCGTGCCACCCCTTTTAGATTCCTGCCGTTAGACTCCGCAAAATAAAATGGAGAAGAGATGATCTGTAGACGCAATAGCTCATGAATCATTGTGAACCTCCTTATTCCTGACAGCCACAAAGAAACGATACTACAGACGAGCGCCTAAACGAAAGCGCACGTCGGCACGCCTGTTCTAGCAGCATTTACACTGCAGATCCATACCATTAGAAATTTTGGCTCATCAAATCGAGCGATGAGGCGACCAGTTTGCGACTCACATCAAACTTTGGTCACCTAGGAGAAGGCCGGTTACGCACTGCCGTTCATGTGACTTGTAATGCTGCTTAGGGGCTCTAACGAGGTAATTTGTGTAGCATAATATCGCACACTTGCAGCAATGGATTATTCATTAAACTTAGAGCGGCAATACTGACATACTTTACAAAAATCGTCTGGTATATCGCCAGACTTAGCGCGATGTATTCCACTTCACTTGTCGATACAGACACTCTTGACTGCTCTTGCTTCTTGTTCAAATCCTTTTTAGGAAGACGAATCCTGACGTCGACTTGCGATCTGACATCACCGGCTCAGTCCGCATTCAAGTTTCCTTGTGATCTTGTCCAGGCATATAGGGATTGCCAAAAGTCTTGGTCCCAGCAAATAGTACGCTTTACTGCAGCCCAGTGCTCTTCTTGAAAGTTTTCCATGGAGCGCGCAACGGACCCGACCCTACCACAAAGACGATAACTAGCCGAGTTGCAGTCATTAAGTGCATTATCCACCAACAGCTTCGCGAAACGGTGCTTTGCTTTCGAACGTTTTGGCGTTTCAAACAATTTTCGTGCTCGTGTCAATGGACGGATCACGTTCTTGCACTGATCCATGGTAAAGCGCAATAGAATATCATCTACATAATTATATGCTGCCACCAGGTCCGTAAATTAGCTCGATGCTTAACTTGGTTTTTATATTGCGCCTACTCCAGGCAACAAGATCCGCCGAGCTTCCAGTGACAAGTATATCATCCACGTACACCATCAGTAAAACGCAATAACCATCTATATTCTGTACGTAGAGGCATGGGTCAAACTTGGACGCTGCAAAGCCAATGGAGCGCATGAATTGATCAAATGTCTCGTTCCATACTCGAGACGCTTGCTTGAGGCCGTAGATCGCCTTTATCAACTCTAAGCAGTCGAAGCCATTGTCAAGTTCATGCCTTCAGGAATGCTTAGGTGCACCCACTTTTCCATTTCTCCATACAGAAAGAAAAGCTGTCAGCCCATTCAGCTGGTCAATTGTTCATCCCAAGTGAGTCGTAAACATTATGACAATCATTCGAAATAAGACATACTTAACCACAGGTGCAAACATGTCTCAGTGTTGTACGACGCCAAGCTTTTGCTTGAACCCTTTTGTCACCGACGCGCTTTATACTTTTCAATGGATCCATCGGCTTATCCCTGATCTTAAACACTCACTTCGTACCAATTGGTTGGACTGTCGATCGATTCTACATGCATTCATAGGATTATTATTGACGACATGGGCTGAGTCCAAAAAACAATATTATTTAACGTATGTAATATACTGTATTGTACCGTATTTCTGATTCTGTACAAATCAGTTGTCATATACATGTACTGTACGTAGTAGCAATCTTTTTTTTCGGAATGGACATTCGATAGATTTGATTGAATCAGACGACGTTTCCCTTTAACGTTACACTGTTTCAAACGACTTGATTGTATTAAACTGGTACTTTAGTTACCCAGTTTCTCTCTCAATACCGCAAAACCTCACGCCCTCACTTCACCAGCCGGTTTTTTTGCCGTTATAAACTGCTAAAAGAGCCCTCATTTTATTTTCTGGGCGGACCATGGCGGACCAAGTGGACTGGCTGCCCGACCTTGCAGCATTAGCATTGCTTACTGTAGCAGTGCATTATGTTCTAGGCCTGTGCGGTCTACTAGGTGTACTGCTAATCTTCATCTTACTAGAACACGGTCCAAATCTCACGCAGCTTCGGCTTAACAAGACGGTGGACGAGCGGACGCCGTCCGCTCGTACGTCCACTGTAGTGGACGACGAAGAAGAGCCTCGGAATGAAGAGGAGGAAGAACCACAGCGTGTAATACGCCGTCGTATCGCTAACCTCATGGTCCGTGACGTCGGTAGCATAGGCACACCACGTGAGATGCTGGAAATGAACACCCGTACACCCGTCGCATTTGAGACGGACCTTTTTGCTGGTCGTGCACTCTTTCTCGTGCGTACACAACCAGAAGATCCATATTATGCTGCTCTCTTTGCTGGTAAACGTCGGATGTTTTGGATTCAAGTCCAGGGTCATTTTAAAAAGACTGTACAAGGTCCTGTCTATCTTGGAGGAGAATTACCATCGAGGATCGCTCCTGGTCTCTTTACACGGAGTGTAGCCCTTGTGATTATGCGGTTAATAAGGAGATTAGTGGGACATGTGAGTTTTCGCTTTGGGAGTGCTACAGACAGTGAAGATGTTGATGAATTACCGGCCGTTGCGTTCCCTTTGTTTCAATCAGTGGATCAGTTTGTAAAGACACTTGAAGGAGAGATACCACCGATATTGGGGACAGATGATTTTGGAGAAAGTGAAGAGCAGCGGACTAAGAGAAGACAGACACCATTGGGTGAAGAGAGCTATGAAGCTGGACCGACGTACACTTTTGATTTTCATACCATGTACGTTGATTTAACAAAGTGGAAAACGGCAAATTTACCTGGTGGACTCAATGCAATGGATCTTGCGAGATTTTTTGACTCTTTACCATTACGTCTTGTGGCGTATCAAGTTCATTCTAAGGAAGTGGAAAGCTTTGAAAGTCATTGTCAGCGGGACAAGGAGTATTTGTTCTCGTTTGAAGTCAAACATGACAAGCATAGTACTCATCTTTGTAATGGCTTTGACGTTACGGCGGAGGAAGCTTTGAGAGAAGGTGCTGGACGAAACAATGGAAGAGAATCGACTGTTTCTGGAATTGGCTTGAGTGTTGCGGGTTCAGAAATGAGCACAATGAGTACGACACTAAGTGATGCCAGCTCCATGACGGAAGAGGATCCGGTGCTGGCACAGGAACAAGCAGATTTCTTACGACTTGAACACGCTCGTCGACTTGGACAGCTTTCGTTTTCTTATCTATGCTGGATGGAGGAAGTCGACGTGGCTTCGGATGTACGCCGTGTACACTACGTGTTTGCTGTGAAAGACAAGGTTGGTGAGTATGATGATGGAGATGATGAGCTAGCAAAACCCCTGTCCCGTTACCGTCTTGCCATTGTAAGCAGCTATGAGCTGCGCAACTTGCTGCAAGGTCGTCACATTCCAAAATGCGGCAAGGCAGCTAAAGAGCTGGCCAAATTGCGTTTTCACAGTCGCTCACGTATTGGTAGCTACAGCACGATCTCGACTGAAGCACAGCAAGCTGTGATGCATCTCCAAAGGCTGGCTAGAGAGCCAATTCCATCATCGGTATTGCCATTGTACTCGGGCGATTGTCAAAGTGACACTGATACATTAGATGGAAGACGTATTGGAGACGTCCAGAAGACTCTAGACGAGGTCCGTTTAGTTGCAGCCCAGGCTTCACTTTACAAATGCCTCACGAAGCGTCAGAGACTGCAAGAAGCGTATACTTCCAGTACCAAATTGTCTCCATCTCGAATCGGCGTGAATCGTAGCAGGCGCGACCGCGAAGACATGGGAGTGGTGTTTGAAGGCGTGGTGTACCGCTACTACTCAGCTGAGTTTTTACGACAGGAGGTTTTGCTGCTCACAAAGGACACTTTGCTGTTTTACCGTTCGTACGCTTCCAGCGCTGAGAAGCAGGTGTCAAGCTCGCACATCATTGGCGTTCGAGCTGTCGAGATACCTTCGATTGCAGCATATGTCGATGGTACCAGTGGCACAGATGGCGCCTTTGCGCTGCAGATCAGTACGTTTGCAGAGGAAATCGTGCTGTGTGTTGGCACGAATTCCACACGGGATGCTTGGGTGCGAGGCATTTTGCAATACTGCGAGCCCCTGAGCAACTTTGATCATGCGCAGCAGGGCGAGATGTACATCGAATTTGCTGCCACTACTGCGCTTCGGCCCGCTAATCGCGTCGAACTCAACTCGCGATTAATGTTTCCACTATTGAAACTTCAGAAAGCACAAAGAGGTGCTGCCAGTGACCTATCAGACGTCGAAATGTTTGCTGCTGGTACCGTTTCTAGTGCACTAAAGCTCGTGAAACGTACGCTGATGCGTGCACTGCACATTCTCAACAACGCACAGAAGCTATCAGTGACGGAAGTACTGGCGTTCTTAGATGACGCTAGTGCTTTGCGAGCAGTGGACTTGAAGCTGCTACAAGATTCTGGTACCCACGAAGAGCAGGTGGCTTTCTATTTGAATTTGTACCATACTGTGCTCGCACATGCAATGATTGCTCAAGGCTTTCCGCGTGGTAAAGGCCAGTGGGGTCACTTTTTAACACGGACATGCTACGCACTGGGCTGTGGACCGGAGGGAGGTCAGGTTAGTCTGTCACTGGCAGAGATCGAACACGTGATCCTACGTGCTCGCTTACCCCATGCCGATGTACCCTATCTGAGTGTGAATAGCGTTTTGACGCTAGCGAACGAACCAGCGAGTCGACTCCAGAATCTTGGAATTGCACATCCGGATTTCCGTCTCAGTCTCGCGCTGGTACTGAACCACCCTGGTAGCGAAAAAGTCGTGATATATGATCCGGCACACGTACACGACCAGCTGAATGCAACTGTGCGCTCGTTGCTTATGCGCTCTAGTGCACAAGGGCACTTGGAGATAAAGAAGGACCCAAATACTATCGTGCTGCCGCGCGTGTGCGAATGGTACTGTCGTGATTTCGGTGGAGCTGCTTCTGATACGTCCGCAATCTTCTGCGTTCGCAAGCTATTGGGATATATGGATGACAGATTGCAGCTACAGGTGATTGATGCCATGGGTCTTGACGACACTCCTCTCCGCACCAATTTCCGGTCTTTCAAGTACACGCCAAAGATCACGCTGGAGGAAGACAAGAGTTGGCAGCCATTAGTGCTTGACGAGACCAGCGCTAGCAGCATCGATTTTGCCCAGACTGGAGAAGGCGGCGGAATGACGCAACTCTAGGCTTACGTACTCACCACAGGTGGCAAATGTATATTTATCAGTCTTTTGCAATTACGTAGTAGTGGATTCATTCATTGCAACAAACTCGGAGTGCATCCTTCTTCTCAATCGTGGTCCAGTTGACTCACAAGGAAATGATCAAGACACAAGGCGCTTCATTCTTCACACGTTTACTGGTTCAGTTTCCCGATCAAGTCGATAATAATAATAACGATACGACTGAACCGTACCGCTTCTGTGGCTACATGTACTCCACTTCTACTGTATCACAGCGTCAACTTGTTCCATAGTCAAGCTTGCTCGGCTGGTACTGTCAAACAGCACCACATTCATCCAACTGACGATCGACCAGGCCATCACCCTGACATTGACTCGAAAATACCAGGAGGTGGGAACCTCTATACTCTTGGCTACGGAATCACGAAGATGTTGGCGACGAATTTTCTGTTGCGCTCGTGGGAGGATCCTTATGGTTGTCAGATTTTATAGACTCTAGCATCTTAACAATACGCTTGTTGTGCACCATCTTTTGCTCCACAATCTTGAAATGATGGCAATCTCGGTTTGCACTACAACAAATTAACACAACACAGCAACATCGATATTCCTTTTCTATAACAAGCTATAATGGGTGGTAAAGCTGCGTAATAAACGTACTTGTCATAAGGAGGCACCATTATGTCCAGCATCGCACAGCCAATGTCCGAGCTAGCCTGAATATTATGCAAATTAAACCGACGGGGATCCAACCACGTGGTCGTTTCTTGGCCAAACTTGCCCTCTCGACTGACACGCGCCCACGAAACCGATCCAACGTCTGGATTGATCGCACTGAGGAGCACCAAAACACCACGAGCAAAATGTGAGTCGCTGCAACGTTTGCCAGGAAATGTACAACGACGCACTCTGAACCGAACATAGCATCCTCATAAACAATTTCACTTCCTGCTTCCAAGGTCTGAAGCTCCGCATCAGACAGGATATCGTACGATGTCACGGAAGCAGCACCGTACAATCTTTTAACAAATAACAAGAAACAAATTAGAAGACGGCTCTCTTCCGTTTTGCTTTGTTTCGCTTTGCACCACAACAGCAGCTTCTTACACTCTCGTGACAACGCTCATGCCCGGATGATTGTGCAGTGGAATGGTACTGTTCGGCGGCATAAAAAAGATGCCAATATCGATAGAATCTGACTCCCACAACTTCCAGTAGTGCACGTCGTTCATCGTGCGTGCAATCTGCGGAGTCGGCACATGAATGCCAAAATGATCAGCTCGCAATGCACCGCACAGAGTAACCACTGGACTCAGCATCGTCTCAATCTGTTTCAGCGACAATCTAGTATTGGGAAAGCCAGCTCTCTCGACTCCAAGTTGAGCCAACGTGCGCGTATATGTAGTCAGCATCTGATGCACCACAAGTTGCACGCCTGAAAGTCCCTGTAAGCTAGCATTAGCAGCCTGTTCTGCTTCAAGAGCTTTCTGTGCTTCTTTTGCCTGAATAGCAGCAGCAGCAGCTGCTATGAGAGCATCTTTCTTGGAAATTAGCGGACTCGGTAACAACACGCCACCGTTTGACAGCTTCCGTGGCTGTCCATTAGTGCCAAACTCGGGCTCTTCAAGACAATGACGGATAGATCTGGGACTGATGATCGGACTGCCACTGACTTTAAACACATTGTGTGATTCCCTGTCGACTGTGAGTTCTCCTGGATGACGCGCTCGTGTCGGATCAATCCGCTTGGTATCTTTTTGTCTCGGCATGAGGTAAAAAGGCTCGAAACTTGGACGACAAATAGCTTTCAACTGGCAACAACAGGAGCTTCTCGACGTCCGGAACAGGCTGAAAAGTGGTCAATTTAGACAAACACGAGTCGTAATTTCAATGCTCTTGCGTACTGAGGAAGAAACTAACAATTTGTAAGTATTGTATCGACTGAGAACGAAGGGTTACGTACTCGAGAGAGTGAAGAAACTGCGACTCAATGAAAAGGCAGTGGCTTAGACTATGTCATGGACAGACACGGAATGCCGGTACAATAGACACCCAAGTGTCAGAACAAGGTAGAATGCGTTTACGAAACACGGTGCCAAAAGACCAGGTACGACGACCCGAAAATAACAGATACGCAATCAGGAGGCAGTGGAAGAGACACGCTGGCGTTTTTTTATGCACAAAGACGCGCAAGTTGTAGCAAACCGACAGGGTTTGTAACGGAATTCCCTCCAATAAGTAATAAAATCTGATTAATAACCGCGTCTGATGAATTCACGCAATTAAAAACGAGCGTGGAAATCTCATGGTTTTAATGACACTTCGGCCACCAGCTCTCATGTCTCAACTTTTCATAGTGTACGCCATAGCTGAATTCTGTCCATCTGTACACATGAAATCGTGGTAATTTACACAATTTTCATTTAAAATGGTACAACCAAATTTGTACTAACTTTTAGACGCATTCCATTGAAACACGAGCCTAATTCTTTCGCTAATTCAGCACGCAATCCCATCGCTACATCGCCGTAGACAATACTTTTTCATACGCAAGAGCTCTTCACGTTAGCTAATGGTTTCATTCGATGGCTACGAATCAATAGACAAACTCATTCTCATTACCTCATATGGGGCATGAATGTTACATCCTTTTTGTTACTCTGTCGCACCTTCACGCCGGACAAGATGGTCATATGCGGGAAAAATGGTGACGTTCCTAGTTGCTGGGCATACGTCCTGATCGTATCTTCAAGCTCCTGTGCTTTGGGCTGTCCTGGCACAGCCCAGATGGAGAACTCTGCCACGAGATCATCATCTCCTTTCGTCATTGCAATGCTCACTACACGCCAATTTGGATGGTGATTATTAGCAGTCATTTACTGGGAGACCTCTATTTGACTCTTCACGATGATGACCTGCTTGGCAAAAGCAGCTTCACCGATACGTAGGGCGTCTTCTTCCGCAGTTCCTAGCTCTGGCATTTCCTTCAGACACACTAAAATAGCCGTCGCAAAAGTCTCCAATTCCGTCACAGCTTCTGATAACTCGTCGGTGCCAATGGGCGGGTATAACGCCGCACCAAAGTCTACGATTGCATCCTGTGCCAAAGTGTAGCTCACGTCTAGTCTGGCTGTCCACTTGAGGAACTCATCCTGATCGTTCGAGATCGTCAGCTTCTTGATCGTCAGCACACCACGTTTCATGATGGCAGCGCACATTGACAGCAGCGTGAGACCACTCTGAAATAACGTGCGCTCTTCTTCCGTCAAGCTCGAGTCAAACCCGAATTCGTCGTCTTGCTCAATCTCGTCCAACGCCGTGGCTTGACTGTTACCTTCCTCATGTTCAAGGAGCTCCTTGAGCTCGTCAATTGTCGAATTTAACATCGTAATGCACTGTCAACACAATGAAAATCGACATGACGATTATCAAAACACTATTGCAACAAAACATCAACGCAGAGCCCTTTGTACCTGCAGCATGCTGCGTTTTGAAGCCACGCAGTTTGACTTGGACACGCGAGACGTGGAGTACTCCCACACACGACCAGTGAGCTGTGGTACATGCGTCAAGTCACCCGTTTCAATTGTTTTTGCAAGGTTGTGCACGCTCTTGATCAGACGACTGCAACCAGTACACAATTGTAAAGCCATCACTTCCATATACACCACCAGCACTCAGCATGTAAACTCGTACATTGCATCGTTGATAATTTCTGTCGCAAGTGATGGTCCCGTGCCGCAAAAGAGCGCAACGGTAGTAGCAGCCAGTAACTGCTCGCACGGGTTGGCCAGTGCCTCACAGATACTCGCACCTTGCTCTTTGCTCGGTGTTTTACTATACACAAGTGAGAACTTGGTCACTGTATGTCCAATAGCTCCAGCAGCCTGTAATCATATCACCACACAAACAAATCAGACTAAACAAAGCCATTCAAACTAGAAACCAATCCCAATCAAGCGAGCGCTCTACCGCAACAAAAACCTCCCGCGCGACATCAAAATCCGATTGTTGCAGCCAGAACGTAGGCTGAAAGAGTTGCTGCTTTCGATTCTTATCCTGTAACTCCTGTAGCTGCACCAGATACGTGACAAGTTGCGCGTTAAAGGCCGTCAAGAAACTCGCCATTTCTTACTGTCCTCCAAGGACTCGGAACCCAAATTAACACGACGAAATGAGCCTAAAATGACTAATTTCGGCAGTCAACCAAAAGGGACGTGGAAACCGGTACTAGTGCAAGTTATTATCTAAATGAACGGTATTAGAAGACGACCACGTAAAAATAAAATGCTTTAGTCTCCCTATTGCTGCAGTAGCTTCACTCCTGTCTTCCCCTATTTTTTTCGATAATATCTTTCACCGATTTCTCTGTGTATACACAATATAAATGATAGGCTTCAAGGGTGATGAGATGCTTGAGGAATGGGAATGGCCAGTCGAGTGCAAAGCTCAACAAGAAATGGAGAGACATTTACGTTGTCAGATCTGTGGCGATTTCTTCCATGGTCCTGTTCTATTGCCCTGTTCACATACATTCTGCTCTACTTGTGTACGTCGTTTTTTACAGAGCAAAGGGGCAAACGGATGTTGTCCACAATGCAAACAACCCTGTGACACGCGAGATTTGGTACCCAATCGGGCACTGGAACAGGTCGCACTCTTGTTTGAGAAATCCAAGCCAGATTTACTCAAGAGATTACAAGGTAGAAAAAAACTTTCAAGCTCCGCTGTGTCTACACCCAATACAGAGAGTGGAAAGGTCAAGAAGATAAAGCAGCAGGACATACCAGAACGGTTGCCACTTTTGTCTTACAATGTCATGAGGGACAAGGAAGTGAGGAAATTACTTGACTCGATTAATGTCCGAGTCCCGATCAAGAACCGAGAAGAGATTATTCAGATTCACAAAGAGGTGGGAAGCCACAATAGGTTCTTTTATTTTTTTCCCCTGACGTGGCATTGTGCTCAGTTTGTTGGCTGCTTTTGTGTGTGCATTTTGTTTGTCTACATGTAGTTTGTCTTGCTGTCGAATGCACAGGCAGATTCAGTGAATCCAAAGAGCACAGCTCAAGTGCGAGAGGAAGTTGTACGGAATCATCATGCGAGAATGCAGCAAAAGGCCAAGACAGACGCGTTGAAACGCAGCCAAAGTGGAAATGACAATGGAAACGCAGCATCTCCGGCATCGGGCGTGTCGGCACAAATGCGCGCTAGTTTTGATAAACTCCGACAGGATATTGCGGATAGAAAATCAGGTAAACGACCGCCAACACCGTCGACAGATACGTCGTCCAGTAATACCCCACAGAAGGAAGGGAATGGAGCATCGGTTGGTGTGTGGCGTCACTTTTGTGCTCTCGACACGAGCGTCAAGCAGGAATTCTACGTGAACTCGGTGACACATGAGATTCGTGTCGACTTGCCGTCCTCATTCGTGCAAGAGCAGTCGCCAGCGAACCGCTACGATGACCTGGATGGTGTTGCGCGTGCTGTAGCTGAAGATCATGGAAATGCAGCGATAGCGGTAACTCCTCTGAAGTCAAAGGGAAAGGCCAAGCGGGCGATTGCTGCGGCATTTACTTCACCAGGTGCAACGGACGAAAGCGTTACAGAAGAGATTGTCATCTCGGGAAATGAAGGTGAAGATGAAGAGGAGAAACCGCAGCAAACTGGTGAAGACGAAAAGCGAGAAAGTCTAGGTAAACACGCTCGAAGTACCGATGGCGCCGACTCGGCAGCAGATGACTCGATTGAAGTAACTGAAGACGCGGGTGAGGCTGCTACCGAGTGGCAGTGCTCGCGGTGCACATTAATCAACGAAGCAACGTGTCAGCAATGCGAGGCATGTGGCTTTGAGCCGGCATCAATCCCGGCCAAGAAACGCCTACGCAAGAAGATGCATTTCCAAAGCAAAATAGCTTTGTCATAGACATCACTTTGGTCTTGGTGCTTGCATTATTCGGACTATAACGGAGAATATCAACAGCAGTTGAGAACCAACAGCATAAAGGGTTTCGCATTAAGACAACACTGCCTTGAACTCCTCAACTCAATTACGTCTGTGTCCAGTCAGTATCGATGGACAGACCAAAGTCTTCTTGATAAGCTGTACCCAACGTAACCAGTCCTGTCGGGGTACCTCCACAGGAATCAGTAGGGCGGACTAGTCGTCAAACTGCGCAGCCCGTAGCGTCTGCGCCTCAGTCAGTCATAGCAAACGAAGCGAACCAGCGAATCGATCTCGATCTCGATCTCACCGCTGTGGTCATTATCAGCGATCATTTAAGATTACATCTCGTCGATGGACATCATCTGATCAAACCTTCTTGTACTATTAGCCATGCCGATGTCACCGATGTCACGATACGAACCACTCACAAAACGCGTCAGTTTTTTTTCCTGCATCAGATCAAACGAACAGGGTAGCGCTGGTCGCTCAATTCCTCACAAAAACCTCTTGAGATCGCGACGCTTCATTCCAACGATAGGTCTACAAGCAAACGCAATAATAGTGCAAAATCTTACAATGGAGTGGTAACGATGAGCAACATATCGCCACGATACAACGTGTCATCGTGCTGCTTCCTTTTTCCTGAATTCTGGATGCTAAATCATCATCTTTCGTTTGCAGCCAATATGTGCGTTGTCATATATACAATGAAAGTCCTCAGATATTGATCATAAGCACTTCGCGCACATACAACGTCTACCAAATAAGACACACAGAACAATTGCGTGAGTTATCATGAATACAGAACGCCTTCAACGACAAGCAGCCGACAACCGATTCATCATACATACCCAAAGGCGTTCACGTTTCTCCTGCGTAGGAAGCAAGCGCACTAACTGAGGCACGAGATCCTTCATGAGTGCGTGGGAGCAAATTGACAGCAAGTAGCTGAAAAATGCGTCGAGCGACATTGCGTCCTGGCCGAAGAGCCGGCAATTATCCTTAAACACCTGTAGTTTCGCGTACGGGCAATTGGTTTGTACAAAATTTATCACGTCCGAGTACACCTGCTTCATCTCAGCGCCCTTTGCAGGTGATGGGAGAGGAGGCACAGGCTGCTGCGGGGCCTTCGGCGCCGATGGCTTCACGAACGAATCATACATAGCTTGTGCCTGTGCAGGCGCTGTGTATGCCGCATTGGGGGCTGGAGCAGGGTAAGATTTATACTTCAATGACGGATTTGTCGGATGAGAGTGTGTAGACTCGGTCGGTGCGGCACTTTTCCGTTGCTCAAACTGTGCATAGAGTTCCCGTTCCGATTTGTATGAGCTGTATCGTCGTATCCGTGGGTCGTTCGGATCCGGCTGCACGGTACTCGCCATTGCTAAGGTCGTCGACGTCGACGTCGACGACAACGACGGGGTCACGTACTGTTCACGGTACGAACTAGAGTGCAAAGAGGACCTATTAGCCACGAGCGAAGTCGCATGAGCTGCAGCAGCATGATCGGCAGCATCCGGGGTTCCATTGCTGCCATGGTAGCTAGTACTAGTGCTACTACGTCTACCACCAACCAAGTTTACATTGCGTCCACTCAGTCCTTGCTCGTTACATGCACGACGTATTGCATCAAACAGAATGTCACATGATCCCAATGGTGGAGCAACTTTTCCACTCAGAATCTCATTGGGAGTGACCTTACGGCCATAAAACTGACTGTTCATCTCACCACGGACCAGGAAGGTCGAGCCGTGAAGTCCTGCTCCAGCAAACACGCCCTTGGCGTGACTGTACGTGTAATTGCCACTGACACCTCCTCCTCCAGCGTTAACATTGGCACCAGCTGATCGACCCACGGGCCCCACTGCTAAATCTAATGCAGCACCAACCGACACTTGGGTGCCCTTTTTAAATGTCTGGACAGCACTAGGAGATCCCAATACAATAAGAAAGTCAATGATCTCTCCACCAACTTCAGCACCAAAGCCCATTCCTGCTGTACCAATGCCTGATGGAGGTGACCAGGTGCCATCAGCAAGTCGGGCCATAACGACGCCTGTACCCATTTTACCAGTCCATACAAAACCAGCTTTAACAACTGTAAGGAAGGCAAGACCTGCAGCATTTCGAATCAATTCAGCGGGAATGGCTGAATCAGCACTAATGGTTGAACGGAAACAAGAGTCTAAGATACCAGCAGCTTTGATAATTTCTTTCTCCATGGTTGAATGGTATGGCATATGAAGAGGCATGATGATGATGATGAAGAAGAAGACGAGATGAAGATATTATTAAGTAGAGGTGGAAATAGCGATATAACAAGCAAGGTAGAAAAACTGTACCTATATTGAACTTGTAGTTAGTGCAATCAATTCAATACAATTGATAGGTAGTCAATGTTACGGTAGTCAATATTACACGATAGATAGATAATTAATCAGTCAATCAATTAGTTAATAATTAGTCAATCTAGCATAATTGACAGGTAACCATTTCGTAGAAGATGGAAGATTTGTGTGCGATTAAATGTTTGAAAAGAACACTACTAGCTGAGTAGATGCCAGCTTGGTCGGTCACGTCGGTTCGACCGTTGTAGCTGATACTACGCGCTTAAACAATGACCACTACTCTGCCAAACACCAGAGACTGCTTACAGCACGTCCACGCAGTTCAGATCACGGAACGCCTGTTGCAAACGACTGATCATCGACTCCTCCGACTTGCGGACCCACACACGAGGATCGTAGTACTTCTTGTTCGGGACGTCTGCACCATCGGGGTTACCGATCTGGCCCTGCAAATAGTCCTTCTTGTCCTCGTAAAACTTGCGCAGACCGTCCCAGTACGCCCACTGCGTGTCCGTGTCAATGTTCATCTTGACCACACCGTTGCCCACAGCCGTCTCAATCTTTTGAGCCGATGAGCCAGAGCCACCGTGGAATACAAAGAACACGGGCTTGTCGTCCTCGAGCGACTTTTCCTTAGTGACAAACTTCTGAAAGTCACCCAGGATCTCGGGGTGAAGCTTCACATTACCCGGCTTGTACACGCCGTGCACGTTGCCAAACGCAGCAGCAATCGTAAAGTTCGGTGACACGGCGCTCAGCTCGTTGTACGCCAGCAGAATGTCCTCTGGCTGTGAATACAGCGACGCATTGTCCACTTCACTATTGTCCACGCCGTCCTCCTCACCGCCAGTCAACCCCAACTCAATTTCAAGGATCAAACCCATCTTGGTCATGCGTTCAAAGTACTTCTTACTGAGAGCGACATTCTCCTCCATTGGCTCTTCTGACAGGTCGAGCATGTGTGAGCTCCATAAAGGAACGCCATGTTCTGCAAAATACTTTTCATCAGCCTCCAGCATACCGTCAAACCACGGCAGCAGCTTCTTGGCACAATGATCCGAGTGAAGAATCACTGGGATTCCGTAATGTTCGGCCATGGCACGCACGTGATACGCAGCAGCAATGGCACCCAACACCGAAGCTTTCTGATTCTTGTTGTCAATCCCCTTGCCAGCGTAAAAAGCGGCACCACCATTTGATGTCTGAATGATAATGGGCGACTTGATGTCACGAGCGGCTTGCAAAGCGGCATTTGCCGTCGATGATGACGTCACATTTACGGCTGGAATGGCAAACTTGTGCTCCTGAGCGTACTTGTATACCTTCATAATGTCCTCACCATTGAGGACACCAGGCTGGACGATGTCGAGAAGACCCATTGTTGAGATAAGAGTAGTCGAAGCTGTGGAGGGGGGGGGTTGAAGAAGAAAGAGTCGAAATGAGGATATTTGGCTGTTTGATGGCTCGCATAAATAGGGGTACCGAGCCAAACTTTGGTGGTGACCCATCAGACCCACCCGCTTTACTTTTTGTTGTCCATTAAAGATGTCGTCTTTAAAATCGCTCCCATTTTGTTTTTATTTTTAGTATAAACCTATTTACATGTGCAAATTAAATTATAAGCACCAATTCGAGTACTTCAACACGCTGTCGGATGGATCGAGCAACTTTCTTTTTATCAAAAAGGAACATTCCCGAAATGTCAGTGTATCGACATTGGGGCCAGAGAGGTGCGCAATGACAATTCAATAATTAAAACGTAATGCTTCGTCGATCAGGTGACAACACCTTTTACGCAGGTGATAACATATTTGAACTCGTTAATAAAATGCGTCATCATGCCTCATTGATTCTGTTTGAGGAGATTTTAAACGGGTTATCGCCGCTCGAGGGCTTTGTCATATAGTATACTTCCTACCCACCAATATTGTCAGTCCAAGGCGGTACAATGCAACATGGTTGAGACCTGTCTTTTTAGAAAAGTACTGCATTTCTAGACCTGTATATATGGATCAACGATGTAAGGCTGAGCCCCAATTTCTGATAAGTTTACAAAAGGTGCGGCGTTTAGAATGAAGAGGTACATGAAGCTTGGCTTCTTTTATCGTTATTTTACCCTTGCTAGCTTGAAGCCTTAGTAAATTGCTTCAGACGGTCTCGCACCGTTTATTTGTCACATTGTAAGTTCTAGTTACCACACATTCCATGCGCTCCAGATTGTCCCGAAAGTAGATCTTCGACAGCACTCGCGGTCAGACTGTGCATCACCACAGATACCACCACTTTTCGTTGTGTAGCCAATGCGTGGTATTGATAAGGCAATAAGTCTAGAAAGGTACCTACTTTTGTACAGCGGGCCAGTGCGAGTTGCAATCTCAATTTCTTGTCGAATTTACAAGTACTGGTACTCGACTACGTGATGTCGTACATTGCACGACATGATAGCATAGCGTTGTACCTTCGCCGCAGGTTCCAGCGCTTTCAGCACGACCGAGTGCACCGATGCTGCTATTCGATTATCAATCAAGCACCATGTCTTTTAGATCGGTCATGATCGAACGGACAAATTCAAATGTCGTCGGTGGTCGGTGAACCTTGTCAAGAACCGCGTCTACATTTACGTCGAAGTCGCGGGGACCAAAGCTTTACTGCTACCAACTTGCAGTAGTCTGCAAGTCGTAGTCTTTAAGCTTCAAGATGCAATTCGGAGTCTTCGAATTTGTTTCCATGGACATATAGTCAAAGTTGTTTTCCATGAACAGATATCAAAGTAGTTGTCTCTGAGTACGGGGCCGATCGCCTCGCTACGGCTTCAACTATTTATAAATTCAGCACAGTCAGCAGTGGCGAAGGGCCGTAGAGACAAGGCGGCGAGGCGGTCGATCACAACGGCCACCGCAAGTGTTCCACTATGGCTGCAGTAGCCCTGAGCGCCGCAGTGTGCGATATTGAACATGCGTTTTCTCTTTCTGCTTGTCCACTGCAGACTAAAGCGCGTCACGTACAAACGTGGCTCTCGGCGTAGATCATGATACAAACTTGTCTTTCTCGGAGGTAAAATGGCCGTCAGCGGTTTGTTTTGTGTTTGTGTGTGGGTCGTGCATGGACCGCGCGGTCTTATGTCAATTACAGATGGCTAGACGAAGTTGATGGTGTCCAGGTTGGAGTGTTTAGATGGTCGTCTCCACAATTTGTGAGGGAGGTTGCGATGGTTGCAAGAAACGCAGAAGCCTCGGGGTGTAACGGGGTTACACGACGGTTGTAACGTCTTTCCGAGAGTTTACGCTTAAACTCTCCTTTGTATTGCATATAATGCATTATTATACTTCTCGTTAGAGAGGTATTAAGTATGAGCGTTAAGATACGGTATTCGGTAATACCGTATCTTACCGATTAGGATTCGATAAATCGATAACGCTCCATTAAGTACATCATACACAGATGTTAAGAGATACGTCGTCCAATAGCAAAGTCTGCATATAATAACTACTATTATAGTAATTAATCTAGTGTAGTGTACTTAAAGTAGGACTATTCATAATATCTTAAAGCATAAATAAAATCAGTTCTCCTTTTGAGTTTAAGACCACAAGTCGTTCTGACTTGTTCTCTTGTGCACTTCGTGCGTTGGTTTTCTGAACCCTAAGGTTCTAGCTTGCTCTTGCACTCTGTGCGTTGGTTCTCTGAACCTTAAGCTTATTGCTTGCTGACTAAGAGTCCCTCCTACTTCCTTAGAAGAGGGTGACTTTAACGTCGAATACTTAGTTCCTTAGAACTAAGTGGCTTTTAGCCTTAACTCTATTTAGTTCTCTCGAACTAAGAGGCTTCCAGCCGAAAGTCTTCCTCTGGCTAAAGAGCTGTGCAGCTCCGCAACACTTGGTAGCACTTGTAGTCAATCCTACACCTGAGTCTTTAAAGACTGACCCTCTGTGAGAATGGAGAATCAAAATCACCTCTCTGAGGCACAACGACTCGCCTTAGATAAACTATCTGCGTTCGTCGGGCCTGATCAAATCGAGGCCCTTTTGGCCCAAGGCCCCGAGGTTCTAAATGCTCGTCTTGAGGCCTTTATGCGTTATGAGGCAACGCTCCTCGGGCAGTCCCTGACCAGGCAGTGTCAGCCGCGCCTATACAGTACATTCCGATACCTGTGACCGATGCAGAGCCAAAGGCTCGTCCACTTGTTTTAAGTGTCAAGACCTTCGAGGGGAAGGAGGGAGAGAACCTTCTCCTCTGGATCCGAGAAGTTGAAATGGCAATGGATGCCGCCATGCTTGCATCCGATAAGCAACGAGCTGGCTTGGCCATTTCTAAGCTCGGTGGAAGAGCTAGAGAGTGGGCTCTAACGAGCGGTGTCTCTGGGAGATGCTTAAAAAGCAATTAACTTGTGTGTTTGCACCGCCTAATCAGGCTTATCGTGTGCGCTCACGCTTCCTAGCTACCCGACAGGGTAAGAAAGAATTGTCGGACTATGTCCAAGAGTTGAGAACTCTCATTGCTGCTATGCAGCAGGACCCACTGGCAGAGGAAGTCCGAGTAACCATTTTTATGGAGGGACTTCGCACTGGGGTCGCCAGGACGGAAGTTTTCCGTGTCCAGCCTTCAACTTTTGAGGAGGCAGTAAGCGTAGCATTTAAAGCTGAATTCAATTTTAGATCTGCTCGATATGGTCTGCCCTGGTATCAATCAAATACCTCTAATAGGGCGGAACCCATGGATCTCAGCCATGCTGAAGAAGCTGAGCTTCAAGCTGCTGAGCAGCAAGGTAGCATCCGTAGATGTTACATGTGCGGAAGCACTAGGCATCTCCGCCCTAGCTGTCCGTTGCGAAAGCAACGTTCAAATCGGCAAAGCCGAAGCCCTGCTCCTAGCCAAAAGGCGAGCACCGCAGGGGAAAATGTCGA